TTATTTTATTGTTATTATTTTATTGTTATTATTTTATTGTTATTATTTTATTGTTATTATTTTATTATTATCGCTTTATTATTATTTCATTATTATTTTATTATCATTATTATGAGACAGCAGGTCGGTTTCTTTCGCGTAAGTCATGACTTAGTGCAAACTAGCTTAAAAGTTACTTCATTTTGATCTCTGATTTGTCTGAAGCCAATTTTAGGACGATGCGGATGATGCATTCCAATCGCCAGTGGAATCAGAAAATGATGATGTGGATTCTGATTTCGACCGTGCCGAAGATGAAGAAGACGAACCAGTAAGCGATGAAGCAGAAGATGAGCCCAAAAAACGAAAACGAAAAAGCGTATACAAGGTAATTCCGTTTTTTACTATCGTTATTATTATTATTGCTGTTATTATTATCATCATTATCATGATTATTATCTTTCCCCCTATCCTTTTTTTCTATCTACGTTTGCTATGCATGTTCCTTGTGCCTCCAGCCCTCATAAAAAATGAAAATGAAAGGAGCAGGCCGTGAAAGGAACACTTTTTTAAGACGGGCATGGACCAGGAAGGAATCGAACCATTCATTTTCACTTTTTTTGGAATTCTTCAAATCGTAACGTGTTTTCCGTGACAGTACTGGCTTTCCTGCTTCACACAGCAACAGAATTACTTATTATCACACCGCACATTTCGTCAGATCATTTTTAATTTTTCGTCGGCTTTTCGCGGATATCCACAATAGGAGAAATGACTTTCATGCGCTAAGAAGAAATAAGGATGGGATGACATTGGAGCAGTAAGAGATTTGTAATCGAAAGTTATAATAAGAAGGAATGAAATAAAGAGAAGAATGAAGAAAGAAGATAAGACCGAAACTTGATGGACCGAAGCATTCTTATCCAAGTTTTCATTCCGATTTAACATATTCACATTCCTTTTTATTCCCTTACTTTCAAACCCTTGCTTTTTACATAAACACACATCATCTAAAATTAAAATTACGAGAAATGAAAATTAGGAAATTTGTAAGATTATTTGTAATGGTAAGAAATGTTTCGATCCGTTTAAGTTGTATACATTTCTTACCATTATCACAAATGGACCTGGTCAGTACGACGATTGTGGTAATTGAAATTAGTGAAAGTTGGATACATTCTTAAACTGAACATTCTCTGGGACTTAAATAGAATTGCTTTTTTTTCGCCACAGAGTGTTATAAAAGTATGTTGCAGGAACCAAAATTGGGTGCTAGCGGTGAGGCGAAAAGGGCGCTGTTGCAAAAGAACAAGAAATGGGTGATGGCACGAATGGGTTGCCTTATGGCACCAGCAAATACAGTTACACCTGAAACACAGGTTTCTTACCCCGTATGCTTAACATTTTTCACAGTTTTACCGAAATTACTGTAAATTTTCGTGCAAATTGTTCAAGTTTAGTGAATTTCTTCAAAATATTACTTTTTTTTAAAAATTTGCACTTGTCTAGTAAAACCGGAAAACGTTTTTCCGTTTATTGTGGAATTCAGATTCAGTAAGTCGGGGAGTAATGACTTATCGCGTAATATATCAAATAGTGATTAATGGTTTTTGTTAAAAACAGATTAAAGACCAACTGCATTATTACGACGCACTCCCCCTGTCCCTGGTTCAAACTTTAACCACTTTACTCTCACTGAACTTTCGATCTTTGTCCCCTGGGGTATAAAAGCACTTCTCCCCATCACCGGAATCGCCACTACCAATTTTCTACTGCGACTTCTACACAACTACTATTCCTGTTCTGGGGAGCTTCGGCTCCCCAGAGCCTCACCTACGTTTTATGCCTCATCCTTTTACTTTACTATGTATAATAAACATGTATATAGGACGCGACTTGTTACACACACACTAGTCTAATAAGCCAGCCATTAGGGTCGCGATAGACTCATTCATTTGTTTCGATAATAAGTTGGTACTGATCGTTTTGTAAATTAAGCAAATGAATGTTCAGCATATGATGGGTAGGAGGCTGTAC